ATGGCATGGGCTGGGACTGGGAAGCAGATGTAACTCATTTCACCATGAACCTTTAGAGAAGCAATTCCAAAGCTGTCATTCAGCAGAAAGGGTTCCAATCTGGACAGGGGTTCCAGTGTGACCCTCACATGCAGCCTCCAAGCTGCTCCAGGGCTACTCATTTAGGAGGTTAAGGTGTAGGCTCTCCCTCCTGAGGAGAAGCAAATAACTCTCTGCCTCTGACCAAGAAGAATAATGGAACTCTTCCCAGGTCCTTGCCCCCAAACTGCCCAGCCAATTTCTACATCATGTCTTTATGAGCAGAGTCAGATACCTAGCAGGGACCCCCAGAAGGATCCCCCAGGCAGCTGAAGATGCTGAGAACGTGGAACAGCTGCTGAGGAAGGCTGGCAGCGATGAATGGAGCCAGCCAGAAGAGAGATGCCATGTGGCCACATGGACTGCAAATGGCAAGGCCAGAGTTGTAGGCTATCCAAGGCTGTCGGGGTTCTCATCAGGACACCATGTGTTCTAATGTCTGGTACAGAGCTGAAGATTGTTTTCCACGATGGACTTCAGTCTCTCTTTGGTCCTATCCTTTCTTGCCATTCTCCCACAATGGCAATGTGGTGTGCCTATACTGTGCTATGTGAACGTTAGGAGTGTGTATATTTCTAAAGGGTCTCACAGCTGAGGGTTTGCCTTGAATCTTGGGTGGGAACTTGAATTTGGACTTTTGATCCACATTTGAACTATTAAGACAATTGAACAGTTGGTATCCAGACAGAGGTGCTATTTGAGGAGGTTCTGGAAGTTTGGGGAGGCAGGGCCCAGATGGGGGAAGATGAGTGGTGGTGGGGATGGGTCCTTGGGTTGCAGGGCCCCTTGCTGATTCCTACCTGCCTCTGCTGGTCAGTCATCAAGTATGCAGAGCTCTTACGCAGCAGACTCCTGCTGCCATGACCACTGCACAAGTGCAGAGTCAAACAACGGCACATGAAGCCCTCTGGAACCTAAAGCTCTCGTCCCTCCTGTAAGTTGTTCTCTTTGATATTGTTGCCAGTGATAAGTGATTAACACACGCAGCGTCTAGCATTCCTGACAGTAACTTTCCCCTGCCCAGAGAACATGCGTGGCAATGTACACAAAGGAAGAGTGTGTTGCATCAGTGTGGGTATGCAGGGCTAGCTGGCAGGCAGGACCTATAGCTACCACTTGGAACCATGCTCCCTCCAAGTCCCAGCTCTTGGCACTCTTGTCTCAGCAGTCAAGAACTGTGCATGGCACTCAATGAAGCCAAAAGCATGAATTCTTTTTGGGTTTTGTGGTTATTTCTCTGCAAGTCACCTTACCCCACAACATGTCCCCTCTATCCCACCATTCAACAACTTGCTTCTCATGAGACAGTATGTTTGCTATGTTTTGACTTTGCACTTTATTTTATAATAAAACAGGGCTCAGGAACTTCCCAGAGAGCTGTCTGTTCAAAGGCCAGAGACCAACAGTTTGTTCTCTTCATTGACACCCACTGATAGGGAGGTCTGTGTGCTACTGGGGTGTGCAGAAGCAACTTCATTCATTCCAAAATACTTATTGAGTAATCACCAAATTCCAGGAACTATTTTAAGCTTTTGAGCTTCCATCAGCCTCCCTTTATCCATGGATGATGCATTCCAAGCTCCACCCCCAATAGATAACTGAAACCAGATATAGAACCAAACCTTGCATACACTATGTTTGTTCCTCTACATGTACAGCTGTGGTAAAGTTTAATTTATAAATTGGGAATAGTGACAATTAGAAATTATAACTAATAATAAAAAGAACAATTATGATATATACAGTAAGAAGAGTTTGTGATCTCTCTCTCTCTCTCTGAATACCTTACTGCACTATATTTCCTGTGTTCACATTTCTCATGATACTGTAAAATGATACAATGGTTATGAGACATGCAAGGTAGATACTCCCCAGAGGTTAGCTTCTACTGACCTTCTCACTCAGACATGAGCATTGCATTATCCCCTGACCACTGTGATGACTGCTCAGTGTCTATCTGGTGACATAGCAAAGGGAAATTCACATTCTCAGAACGATGCAGCAGGATGGTATGAGAGACCACCAAGCTACTCACAATGAGCTTAATGTACATTGTTTATGGAATTTTCCGCTTACTATTTTTTGTGTGTGTATGTGTGTGTGTGTGTGTCTTTTGTTTGTTGAGACAGAGTTTTTCTGTGTAGTCCCAGCTGTCCTGTAACTCACTATGTAGACCAGGTTGGCCCTGAACTTGACTCTGCCTATAGCTGCCTTCCCAGTGCTGGGATTAAAGGTGCAGTCCCACAACCACCACCTGACCATTTACAATTTTTTTAATCACCAGTAGCCAAAGACAACTGAAGCCATCAGAACAGTGGATAAAGCCTGCTCCACATCAGCGAATCAACAGTGTCAACATCTGCTCTTGTGACACTTGCACTGTCCGGGCCTGACACAGGGGTAGCTACCAATGATACATAAATACCAGAAATTATATGGCATGATCAAAAGTGATAAACGCCTATGGGGAGAAACACAGAAAGGGGCCAGGAGTGGCAGTAGATTAAACATGCTGCAACTGAAGACAAAACGCTCTGGATTCCACACTGGCAGCGACATCTCATCATGGTGGTTTGAGATTTCCCCTTCATACCAACGAGAATGGAGTTGGTTTTCCTTGGTACTGCTGTACTTGAGTAGACATCTTCCACCACATTGTTTTGTGTTAAAACGCTAATTTTATGAGTTGTAGCAACTTGCAGTGTAACATTCCTTTGTATTTCTCTACTTGGGCCTCGTGGTGAAAAACTACTTCAAACCCAACCATTTTTTCCCATCCTCACTCAAATCTGAATCCAAAAACCACATCCTCTGGCCAGTTCTGTTGTTAATTAGTCAGTTTATGAAAAATGGTTTTATTTTTCTTCTCGATTTTCCCTAGGAAAGTTCGTTCTTGTATCATCTGAAGCAGAGTGGTAGGGGCAGCACTTAGGAGAAGATAACTTCCTTGCCCCTACCTAGAAATCTAACAACAGTTAGAGGATATGGCTATGTGTAGGCATGTAAGATACACTCCTAATAACTGAATATATAAGCTACCCTCCTGTCAGTATCAACCAGAAAGTGGAAGTCTTTCTGACAGGAAACCAGAACTGGGAACGGGGTAACCAAGGTAGCACATTTCCCATTGTTAAAGTCCAGGTGTCAAAGATGATGCTCTTTAGTGGGGTAATTTGGGTGACAGCAGATGCTCTAGGAGGAAGTGCCTGGCCCTCTGACTCTGACTTTCAGTGTTTAGTCCGAAAATGTTATGATGTTTGTTCAAGACTCTAGAAGACGACTGACCTAAAAATCTGAAACTGACCGACTTAAAGAAATAGAATTAAAGGCAAAAACATAGAGGGCTGTGAGAAGTGACTCAGCAGTTAAAAGCACTTGCTGCTCTTCCAAAGGACCTGAGTTCAATTCCCAGCATCCATGCCTATCAACTCATAGATGCCTGTAATGTCAGCACTAGAAGATTCAATGCCTTCTTCTGGCCTAAACATATTGTGGAACAATAAGGATCAGGAAAAACAGATAGGCTGAATAGATGCTTATTCAGGGAGAAATAACTTACAACAGAGACAGATGAAGGCCAGCAGGTTCCCGTCCCAAGGATGCCTCCAGATGCTCTCTGTCTCCACCCAGAAAGCAAGAGAGCCCTCCGGGGTCCCCTACCTCAGACCTAGTTCCCCCAGATCATGTCCACACCTGACCCCACCCCCAATGGGTGTGGTCAGTGCAACAGGTGCAGACAGAGTGAATGTCTCACTTCAATTCCCCTTTTAGTCTAAAGAAAAGATTTCAGCTTGATACCAAACTATATACAAAAACAGTGAATAACAAGTGTGCTCTAAGAAAAGGAAAATAGAGACAGAGTGAGTAGCTCACTACATAAACAGGCACCTGTATTCATATGGCATGTACTCAGACACATACATGAATGGATGAGGGGCTTCCTCACATGTGAACTAGATGTTTAAAGGAGCTCAGAGTCCCTGTGAATAAGCTAAAGTCCTGGTGGCCGCTAGGAGACTTTAGCTTGAAAAATGTTTGTAAACATACAGTGTGTACAACAGGTGGCCAAGGCACCAAGATTTATAGCACTAGGATGGCTCATCTTCACTGTCAAGTTGGCCGGAATTTGGAATCGCCTGGGAGACACACCTAAAGTGTCTGTTCTCACACGGGTTGCAAAGAGAAAATGAGAAAGTGAGATGAATACCAGCATTGATCTCTCTTTTCTTCCTGACTGTGAGCGAAGCATAGCCAGCCACTTCCAGTCCCATGCTTTCCCTGAACCACTCCCACCAGCCCTTAGTAGGATGCTTTCCCTAGTCACAGTAGCGTCTGGGAAACCAAGTTGAGCTGGAATGGGTAAAACAGAGACAGTGTGGTAGATGGAGGCTCTGAGGATACAAGACAGAAAGAACTGCTCTCCTCCTCCAATCACAGCTTGGTGAATGAAAGATACATTCTGTATGTTGCATCTATAAGCCCAGCACTTCTACAGCGCAAAGGGAAGAGGAGGTAAAGGCATCCCCAGAAGCTCAGAGACCCGCCAGCCTTGGGTGTGCAGCAGTAAATAGGGCAGAAGGCAAGGACTGGTACCCAAGGTTAGCTCCTGACTTCCACAAGTACACCATAACACATGAGTGCCTGCACTCCTACACACTCGAGTACACACACACACACACACACACAGAGAGAGAGAGAGAGAGAGAGAGAGAGAGAGAGAGAGAGAGAGAGAGAGAGAGAGACCTGTGCACTACAAGGGAAGGAAGGAAGGGACAATTTGTTACACAGCAATAGATATACTAGGTAACTGGAACAGTTTCCTGAAAGACCATATTCAGTGTGGCCACTGTATTAGTTACTTTTCTGGGTGCTGTGACAGAACACCCAGAAAAGCAAATCAAGGAAGGAAGGGTGCCTTTGGTTCAAGGTTTAATACAGCTGATCATGGCAGGGAAGGCATGGAGCAGGGGCAGGAGGAGGCTGGTCACATCGTATCTGCAGTCAGGAAGCAGAGAGGACAGCAGGTGAGAGCAGGCTATAAAAACTAGTGAATTCCCCCAGAAAGGGAAAGAACCGATGCCTCATAGGAATGTGATATTCTGGAAGAATTCTTAACACATGTGTGTGTTCCGTGCATGTTTATGTAAGGAACAAATACCCTTTGCTTCTTGGAAGTTTTCCTCCAAGCCCTGTCCAGTTTCCTCACCATGGTCATCATCATCATCATCTTTCTCTCAGTGTCCTCCTCCTCTTGCTTCTTCTTGGTTTTTTGAGACAGGATCTCACTCATGGTTGACTCGGAACTCACTATATAGACCACACTGGCCTTAAACTCACAGAGATCTGCCTGCCTCTGCCTCCTGAGTGTTGGGAACACAGTCATGATCCACCATACTCTACTACCCATCCAGTTCTATGAATCGAAACAGCTGTTTTTAGAGAACCAGGAGATTGAAAGAAGGCCAAATATTCTGTTGCCACTTTTCAATTTCCCCTAAAGTGATTAAGAAACCAAAACCTCAAACTGGTGTGGAATTTTCTTTTCCTAACCTAAGGAATTCTAACATTATTACTGTTCTCTGAGGATCTACATGAAGAAGAACCCCGACCACTCCCAGAAACTAAGATTGACTTGCACCAACACGGAATGTCTCTTGTTTCCCCGAATCAAGCATCATATGAAAATGGCATCAGCTCACTTGTCCTAGATATGTGCTTCTGGGAACTTTCTAAATTACTGCAGTGAATAAGGCATAAATGTGTACCTTAATGCACAGATACCAGATAAATACACAGTGTCTCAGTTAGGGTTTTATTGCTGTGAAAAGACACCATGACCACGGCAACTCTGATGAAGGAAAACATTTGATTGGGGCTGGCTTACATTTTCAGAGGTTGACTCCATTGTCATCATGGCAAGAAGCATGGCAGCATGCGGGCAGACATGGTACTGAAGAAGGAACTGAGTGTTTCACATCTTGATCCACAGGCGGCAGAGAGCCTATGTGTCACACTGGGCATAGCGTGTATATAAATTCTTAAACCTGACTCCAGTGACACACTTCTTCCAAGGCCTTACCCACTCCAATGTGGCCACACCTCCTAATAGTGCCACTCCCTATGGGCCAAGCATTCAAACCCATGAGCCTATGGGGGGCCATGCCTATTCAAACCACCACATCCAATGACTACTCAACTCCAGAAGGGAGACTAGAGAATGTCAACATCCATGTTCCACTTCCCGCTTCTAGGCTCTTCCTTCCACAAAAATGAACACAGAGCGGCATTCCCGGGAAGCATCCCTGATGGAGTAGCATGAAGAATGTTTATACAGAATTACCTGAAGATAAATATCTGTGGGTGGGAAAGGAAGAAAGAACTGGGCAGAAAAAAGCTGAGCCAAGTTAGTGTGCAGGCCCCTCAGACAACCCTGGGTTTGACCTATCCCACAGGGTGAGGTAGACATTCCTAAGTCAGCGTTGTTCAGCTACTGGACACATCTGCTCCTGAAAGGAATCCTCCTTAACTGGTGAAATCCTCCTGATGTCTCCTCTAGGGGTTTCCTGCCAGGAGCTGCACAGCGGCTAGACAGACAAGTTCTTCACTCCCTGGGGGGGGGGGAAGGCAGGTGGGGTGGGTGGGGGCGCAGAACATCAGAGCCCCCATCACATTAACACCCTGGCTTGCATGGCAACCCCCTCTTCATTTTTTTCCTTCTTTGACCACATAAGGGACAACATAGTTTAATTGTTGTCTGTTTTGAAGCTTTGAGAGAACATTGAGAGAGGAGGTGGAAAGAAAAAGGATGGGAAATGGAAAAAAAATCAAGGATTATGCATCTATAGATAATATGAATATCTATCTGGAGAAATAAAAAATGCTAAGACAGCAATGTTACAAGTAAATCCTGCTCCATCAGCCCCAAGCCTGCAGTACCCTGCCACAGCTAAGATGGCTGAAGAAGAAACCTTTGTGTTTGTGGGCCCAGCTGCTGAATGTGTGCAATAGACTTCTGTGTCTTTGTCTTGCTATCAAAATGTTATCTTTTCAGCTCTATTCTGGTTGTGAATCTGAGTTCAGCTCTGATCATTTATTTTCATCCTTACCTATCCTGTTTTTATATTATATTTGTGTGTGTGTGTGTGTGTGTGTGTGTGTGTGTGTGTGCATTTGCTGCAGCATGTGTGTGATACCTGGCAGGGATCCATTCTCTCCTTCCACCATATGGGTCTGGAGATGAAACCCAAGCTGTCAGGTTTGAAATCAGGTGTCCTTACCCACTGACCCATCTCACCAGCCCTATCTCACCAGACCATCCTGTGGCCACTTATTTCATTATTATGGCATGTGGAGGCTGTTCACAAACTGGGTTTTTAAAACAAAGCTTTTGTGAATAGGGTACGGACAGGGGTGTGTATGTGTGTGTGTGTGTGTGTGTGTGTGTGTGTGTGTGTGTCGGTGAGTTCTCAGGTTACGTGCTCAGGAATGAAATTGCTGGGTGCCCACTAAAGGTATTTGAGTTTTCAATTTCACTAAGAAACACCAAAATGCTTTCTGGTTTTTGTAGTCCTGTTTGGGAGTCCCTGCGGTTCCCTGTGGGCATCACTGGGGACAGGTCTGGAAATGGTGTGGTAACAACCCCCTCCTCTGAGTGACTCTTGACAACCAAGATTTCCTTTTCTGCCATTGGACAGCTTGTCGTCAATTACAGCCAGCTGCTGCATAATAACTGCAGGTTCAGGAACAATGGATCAGACTGTCATCTTCTCCTAAATGCTTTCTCTAGCCTACTCACCTGGACGATTTAGACCCTCTTGCTCTATTTTTTTAACCAGTATCTAGAAAGTGACTCTAGGCCAGCTAAATGACCAAACTGCCAGGTGACTGTGAGCCCATGAGTGTGCCTAGTCACAACTCCCCTCAAATGGTAGTCACCCCAACCGGTGTGCAAGTTAAAGCAGATGCTTATTTAGTTCGTTATACTGTGGTCCAGCAACCTGAAGTTGAGTTTAGTTGGCTGATTCTCCAACTCTCTGAATTCTTAGCTGCCTGCCAGAGGCTATTTTAAAAGCCAAGGAATGATTACAAAACTTGCAAAAAACAGTACCCAAATCATATCAAAGTAATATGGCCTCTACTTAGAAAACGCTAATATTGATTTTGTTTTGAGACAAAGTCTCCTCTAGCCCAGCTAGCCTTGAACTTTCTTTGTAACTGAGGATGACCTTGAGTTTCTGATCCTCTTGGCTTACATGTATGTGTCACCATGTTTCATTGTGTTGTATTGGACAAGGTATCACTACGTAGGCAGTCAAGGACCTTGAGCTTTCTTATCTTTCTACTTCAACCTAACCTGTGTCTGTGTCTGTCTGTCTGTCTGCATTTGTGTATTTGTGTTCAAGCACAAACACACACATGTGCATGGGGAATCAGACTTAAAAGCCCTCCATCTGTGTACTACTTTTTTGTGGGGGGGGCAGTGTTTGTGGTGGGGTCTCACATAGCCTAAGCTGGCCTCACTCACTGTGGTTCAGAGGATGATCTGGGATTATGTCGGGCTCCACCACACCTTGATCTCATATTGATTTCTGCACTTTTAAACACAGCTGGGAACCAAATTCTGAGCCCAGCAGTCCTAAATCCTCCAATTTCATAGAATCAATGGAATGCACTATGTGTTTAAAAGCACCATGCAATCGAATCACCTAATGACTAAAATGCTTCAGTTTTGCAAAGTGAACCAAGCAGATGCCAAGATAGTTCAAAACTCATTTCATTCTAATTTTATGCCAACTGATTCAGAACGTGAAGTTTGATGTCACTTGACCTTTCTCTGACTTAATTTCATCGTAAGAATTAATATCCCCAAAGCAATGCAAGGTGATAATTAATGAGACAACAAATCCAAAAGAGAACTTCAAAATGCATGCAGCTTTTCCATGGGGTGATAGGGTATAAAGAGCCTTGGAGTCTGAAATAAATACAAGATAAAAACAAAGACTGGGGGGCTGAGAGATGGTTCAGTGGTTTGAAGTACTTGTGGCATACAGAGGGCTTGAGTAGATTCCTATCTCCCAGACTGACTTCCTGTAATTCCAGTTCCAGGGAATCTGATGCCCTCTTCTGACCTCTGAAGGAATAAGCAAGCATTGGAGCATACCCATACATGCAGACAGAACACTCGCACTTGTAGATAAATCTAAAAACATGCATTCAAGAACACAGAATCTATAAAGTGGTCTTTCTAGAATAAGAGATATAGAAGGATGCAAGTGTTGAGTGTGTCTGGGGGGACAACCCTAATAGTCTTTTAAAATGATGAGCTAAATCAACTTTGTGGGAAGAAAAGCTGAATGATTTGGACTCGTGATTCTGAGCTTTCAGTCACTCAACTCATTTGTTTTGAGCCTACAGCCAGTAGAGGCATTACAGTAGGAACACGAGACAGAGGAAGCTGCTCAACTCATAGCAGCCAGGAAGGAAAGAGAATGAGACACAAAGGCCCATTCAAGGGCACTCCCCCAATGACCTAACTTCCTTTTCCAGAGTCCCCTTCTTGAAGGTTCTACCACATTCCTAATAACACCACAGTCTGGTAGCTAAGTCTTTAACAGAGGCCACAATGGAACATTCCTAGAGAGTTAAATCCTAACTAAAATGAGATGTGCCTGGCTCTGGGCTAGGCAAGAGGTTCTCAGGTACAAGGCTCAGAGTGGTTAGGATTCTAGAGCAGTGGTTCTCAACTTGTGGAACCCTTTGGGGGGTTGCATATCAGATATACATTATAATTCAGAACAGTAGAAACATTGCAGTTATGAAGTAGCAATGAAAATAATGTTATGGTTGGGGGCCACTATAGCATGAAGAGCTGTATTAAAGGGCCACAGCATTAGGGAGGTTGAGAACTGCTGAACTAGGGTGTATGTATGTATGTATGTATGTATACATATGTGTGTGAGAGAGAGACAGAAAGAGAAATTCTTTAGTCACACCTG